TGGGGACTGGTACCAAAACATTTCTGCAGAATTGAAGGTCCCCAAGAACACAGTGGCCAACATTATTCTTAAGTGGAAGAAGTTTGGAACCACCAAGACTCTTCCTAGAGCTGGCCGCCAGGCCAAACCGCTTAATCAGGGGAGAAGGGCCTTGGTCAGGGAGGTGACCAAGAACCCGATGGTCACTCTGACAGAGCTCCAGAGTTCCTCTGTGGAGATGGGAGAACCTTGCAGAAGGACAACCATCTCTGCAGAACTCCACCAAATCAGGCCTTTATGGTAGTGGCCAGACGGAAGCCACTCCTCAGTAAAAGGCACATGACAGCCCGCTTGGAGTTTGCCAAAATGCACCTAAAGACTCTCAGACCATGAGAAACAGGATTCTCTTGTCTGATGAAACCAAGATTGAACTCTTTGGCCTGAATGCCAAGCGTCATGTCTGGAGGAAACCTGGCACCATCCCTACGGTGAAGCATGGTGGTGGCAGCATTATGCTGATCTTTTTCAGCGGCAGGGACTGGGAGACTAGTCAGGATCGAGGGAAAGATAAACGGAGCAAAGTACAGAGAGGTCCTTGATGAAAACCTGCTCCAGAGCACTCAGGACCTCAGACTGGGGTGAAGGTTCACCTTCCAACAGGACAACGACCCTAAGCACACAGCCAAGACAACGCAGGAGTGGCTTCGGGATAAGTCTCTGAATGTCCTTGAGTGGCCCAGCAGAGCCTGGACTTGAACCCGTTCGAACATCTCTGCAGAGACCTGAAAATAGCAGTGACGCTCCCCATCCAACCTGACAGAGCTTGAAAGGATCTGCAGAGAAGCATGGGAGAAACTCCCCAAATACAGGTGTGTCAAGCTTGTAGCGTCATACCCAAGATGACTTGAGGCTGTAATCGCTGCCAAAGATGCTTCAAAGTACTGAGTAAATACTTATGTAAATGTCAGTTGTTTTTTTGCAATCATTTCTACAAACCATTTTTTGCTTCGACATTATGGGGCATTGTGTGTAGATTGGAGGGGGGGAAACAATTTAATCCATTTTAGAATAAGGCTGTAAAGTAATAAAATATTTTTATATTTGAGATTCTTCAATGTAGCCACCCTTTGCCTTGATGACAGCTTTGCACACTTTTGCAATTCTCTCAAACAGCTTCATAAGGTAGTCACCTGGAACGCATTTCAATTAACAGGTATACCTTAAGTTAATTTGTGGAATTTCTTTCCTTCTTTTAATGCGTTTGAGCCAATCAGTTGTTGTGACAAGGTAGTGGTGGTATACAGACGATAGCCCTATTTGGTAAAATAACATATGGCAAGAACAGCTCAAATAAGCAAAGAGGAAGGAGTCCATCACTACTTAAGAGATGAAGGTCAGTCAATACGGAACATTTAAAAAACTTTGAAAGATTCTTCAAGTGCAGTTGCAAAAACCATCAAACGCTATGATAAAACTGGCTGTCATGAGGACCGCCACAGGAGAGGAAGACCCAAAGTTACCTTTGCTGCAGAGGATAAGTTCATTAGAGTTACCAGCCTCATAAATTGCAGCCCAAATAAATGCGTCACAGAGTTCAAGTACATTTATTTTTTTTTTACATTTTAGTCATTTAGCAGACGCTCTTATCCAGAGCGACTTACAGTTAGTGAGTGCATACATTATTATTATTATTATATATTTATTTTTTCATACTGGCCCCCCGTGGGAATCGAACCCACAACCCTGGCGTTGCAAACGCCATGCTCTACCAACTGAGCTACATCCCTGCCGGCCATTCCTTCCCCTACCCTGGACGACGCTGGGCCAATTGTGCACCGCCCCATGGGTCTCCCAGTCGCGGCCGGCTACGACAGAGCCTGGAATAAGTAACATACACATCTCAACATCAACTGTTCAGAGGCGACCGTGTGAATCAGGCCTTCATGGTCAAATTGCTCCAAAGAAACCACCACTAAAGGACACAAATAAGAAGAAGGGACTTGATTGGGCCAAGAAACACGAGCAATGGACATTAGACCGGTGGAAATCTGTCCTTTGGTTTGATGAGTCCAAATGAGATTTTGGGTTCCAAACGCTGTGTCTTTGTGAGACGCAGAGTAGGTGAACGGATGATCTCCGAATGTGTGGTTCCCACTGTGAAGCATGGGTGGAGGATGTGTGTTGGTGCTTTGCTGGTGACACTGTCAGTGATTTATTTAGAATTCAAGGCACACTTAACCAGCATGGCTACCACAGCATTCTGCAGCGATATGCCATCCCCTCTGGTTTGCGCTTAGTGGGACTATCATTTGTTTTTCAACAGGACAATGACCCAAAACATACCTCCAGGCTATGTAAGGGCTATTTGACCAAGAAGGAGAGTGATGGAGTGCTGCATCAGATGACCTGGCCTTCCACAATCACCCGACCTCAACCCAATTGAGATGGTTTGGGATGAGTCGGACCGCAGATTGAAGGAAAAGCAGCCAACAAGTGCTCAGCATACGTGGGAACTCCTTCAAGACTGTTGGAAAAGCATTCCAGGTGAAGCTGGTTGAGAGAACGCCAAGAGTGTGCAAAGCCGTCAAAGGCAAAGGGTGGCTACTTTGAATAATCTCAAACATAAAATATGTTTTGTGTAACACTTTGTTGGTTACTACATGATTCCATATGTGTTATTTTATAGTTTTGATGTCTTCACTATTATTCTACAATGTAGAAAATAGTAAATATAAAGAAAAACCCTTGAATGAGTAGGTGTCTAAACTTTTGACTGGTACTGTATGTGTGTGATATATATATAAATAAAACACACAGAACAAAAATATGAACACAACATGCAACAATTCCAAAGACTTCCTGGAGGTTAAGTACATAAGGAAATCAGTCAACTGAAATAAATTCATTAGGCCCTATTTTATAGATTTCACATGACTGGGAATACAGATATGCATCAGTTGGTCACAGATACCGTAAAACATTTTTAGGGGCATGGATCAGAAAACCAGTCAGTATCTGGTGTGACCACCGTTTGCCTCATGCAGAGCGACATCTCCTTCGCAGAGATTGTGGAATGTTGTCCCACTCTTCAACGGCTGTGCGAAGTTGCTGGGTATTGGTGGGAACTTGAACACGTTGTCGTAAACGTCAATCCAGAGTATCCCAAACATGCTCAATGGGTGACATATCTGGTGAGTGTGCAGGCCAAGGTAGAACTGGGACATTTTCAGCTTCCAGGAATTGTGTACAAATCCTTGCATTATCATGCTGAAACGTGATGGCGGCAGATGAATGGCACGAAAATGGGCCTCACGATCTTGTCACGGAATATGTGCATTCAAATTGCCATAAACAAAATGCAATTGTGTTAGTTGTCCGTAGCTCATTCCTGCCCATACACCCACCATGGGGCACTCTGTTCACAACAGCAAACCACTTGCCCACACAAGCGATCTGACATATGCCCGGTACTGTTGAAACCAGGATTCATCCGTGAACAGCACACTTCTCCAGCATGCCTGTCGCAATCAAAGTTGAGCATTTGCCCACTGAAGTCGGTTACGACATCAAATTGCAGTCAAGTCAACGAGCACGCAGATGACCTTCCGTGAGACTTTAACAGTATGTGCAGAAATTATTTGGTTGTGCAAACCCAGTTTCATCAGCTGTCCGGGTGGCTTGTCTCAGACAATCCCGCAGGTGATTGTGGAGGTCCTGGGCTAGCGTAGTCTGCGGTTGTGAGGATGGTTGGACGCACTGCCAAATTCTCTAAAACGATGTTCGAGACAGCTTATGGTAGCAAAAATTACATGTAATTCTGTGAATTGCTCTGGTGGATATTCCTGCAGTCTGCATGCCAATTGCATGCTCCCACAACTTGAGACGTGGCATTGACAACACCGACACATTTTTAGTGGGCTTTTATCCCCAGCACAAGATGCCCGTATAATACTCATGCTGTTTAACCAGCTTCTTGATATGCCACACCTGTCAGGTGGCTGGATTATCTTGACAAATTAGAAATTCCCACTAACTGCGATGTTAACAAATTTGTGCACTGAGAAATTTGCTCATGGAAAATTTCTGGTATCTTATTTCTGCTCATGAAAACATTACGTTGCATTAATTTTGTTCAGTATAATTTATCACTTACTTTCACAGTAAACTATACTATCCAAACAACTTCACCCTGGGGATGGCAACCATGGAGGCAGGCGTGACCCACTGGCAGGCTGGGAAGATCATTATCTAAGGCCTATGCCATCCTGCAGAGAACCCACACGTCCCATCACTGAAGACCTTGAGGTAAGATATGAGTCATACACACAAGATGATATTAAAGATTAAAACGCATCTTGATGACACGATTCCTCTCTAGGCTATCCAGAGAATTGGAGTTACAGATGTTTGAGAATGTAGATACACAGCATGCAGGAGGAGGCCCTGAATAACCAACCAATAAGCATGAATGACCCTATGGCAGTAGGCGTCAAGAAACTTGCCACCGGCAGACGTAGTGACCTCACAATAGCATACACACCTTGAGCAGTTTATAGATGTCAGAGAAATCAACCCTTTGTTCCTACATCCTTGACTCAACTATACTGTCATACAATCACCCGCATATGGTGCACCTTCAGCCCCTTGTCAGCTACACTTGGGTGAAACTAGTGAAAGCCAAGTCCAAAAACACAGCTCTCATATTGCCTTAAAAAAAATTAAGACCAGTTTTAAAATATGATGCAACCAATGGTTGAAGGATTCTGACCCATATTGTAACAGACTAGCTAGACATCCCAAAGCCTTCAGTTCTACACCGCCGGGCTTTAATTTTATATTAAAAGTATTAATAAAAATTGTTTCGAAAAATCCATGTCAGCATTGTGTACTCTTTAAAGGAACTTCGCTATTGTATTTAATCCCACTGAGTTCTTCACATTCTTCCAACTCAAACCTCGTCTCATTATTGCAGAAGCTCAATTTTCCCTGAAAAATGTATTTCAAATGCTGAGACCAGACCATTCCATGCCTTTCACATTTTATTAAGCCAAACAATGCAGTAGATCTTCACATTCGTTTGCTGATCCTCTTGTACTCGATGCCAGCTACAGTCATGGTCTGAAAAGAGAAATGATAATCATCTAGTGGATACATTTAATCATTACACTCGGTAAAGCCATGCCAGTAGAGTAGGCTTAGGCTGGAATTAGAACATAGGTGGGAGCAACGGTTGAATTGCATTCATGGCACAGTCAAAGAACTTGATTTGTTAATGTATAAACAAACCCTAATATAGGTGTTTAGTGATCTCCCCATCCATATGCCCCAGACTCACATTGACAATGGTGTTTGCATCTGCCAGTTCTGTGACAGATTCGATCCCCTTCAGGGAGACCTTCAGCTTGTTACCTTCCCTCGTCACCGTAGACTGGAAAAAGTAGAGAAAGGTCAAACGTTACCTCTGAAAGCAGTGGTCACCAACCACCGGCAACTGGCGTCAATTTAACAGGCCAAAGTTGAATGGCCATTGTAGTGTATTAAGATTATGACCATTCTAGTGGAACCTGAGGGGATGTTTATTTTACTTCCAAAAGAGACGTTTTTAGGGTGACGCCCCAGGGGAGACAGGTGATTGGATAGCAGAGGGAGCAACCCATATTTTTGCATACCTTATAAGTATAGGCTAGACAAAAGAGGGGTTAGAACAGACAGATTATCTTTGGACACTGTTCTCCAGCCCGGCAGGGTCTGTAAACTCATGCTGACATCTTGTGATATAAATAAAACTTATAATCAAAGTACAGCCTAAGCGGACTCTTTGACAGCAATAATTACCAGCATTGACGCGATACTACACCATATATGGAGAAAACAGATCGTATGCAGCAGGTGTTAGTTGCGAGATGGAAACAGCTATAAAGTTACAAATGTGAGCCCAGTCACTGTGGAGAGCAGATTCTCTGCCAAAGAATGTCAGTCCTCCCACAGCGCACACAAGCTGGGGAGGGAACTTGACTGCTGATGGATATTGATATACTGCAACTACTAACCCAACATCACTGGGACCTGAACTAACTAAACATTTCACATCAGCTGAACTCAGTTAAGTTAGATACTGGCTGTACATGTAGAGAGATGGATAAATCTAGGCAGTTACTACATGGTATGAAACCTAGGCTGGGTTGTGACATGAACCACCCACCTTGACCTTCTCCCCGGTCAGTGTGTCAAGTTCCGCATCCTGGCCAATGGTGAAGCAGTTGGTGAGGACCTTTGTCCCGGTCGTGACAGTCACCTTGAAGTGGTCCCCAGTCTCCTCAATCTCAGAGATGCTCTTGATGTCTTTGCCCTTCTGGATAAGCTCATCAGAGAGACCTACATGAATGAGGCAGAGAGAGTCATGAACTGTGCTCTTTAGTACTACACAAATGTACTTAAGTGGGACATGAACTCCAAATTATAGCTCCAGAAGTGGAGCAAAAACAATGATCCAATATGGCAAACTCCCACATCAACACAATGAGAAAACGCATTCCCAGCTAGCACAACATTGTGAGAAATATAGGTTTCTAAGAGCATGGTTGTCCTATGGTCATTTTGCATACAACCTTCCCTCAACTTTCTGGCAGTGGTGCTTGGCATTGGAACATTCTCAGCACATTTAAGGAACTTAACAAGATAATGTTACTTTCTTGGCATTCCATTACTTTATCAGAACATTTCCTGAAAGTTAAAACATTTAATTAAAAAGGTAAAGTTCTAGGAACATTCAACTAATTTGACATTGGGAATGTTCTCAAACTGTTCAGCGAACCTTAAACATTCTCCTGTGGGAATATCAGTACTTCAGCATAATGTTGTCTATAGGTTCTATTTAAAGTAATGTTCTCAGAACATAAACTTGACAGAAACCACAAAAACAGCATTAAGACCATTATTGAAAACATAAATGCCGATCTCAGCGTTAACAGAACTCCATCCTCTCATTAGGTGTGTTGAGGTTTGTTGACTGCACCCACTAATTGGCCACACCTGATCTTAATGAGTGCTTGTTCCATATACATACAAAATTGACCCGCTTAGGAGTTTAAAAAAACCATTGCATGCAAACTCCATCCTGGTGGCACAGTGGACTAATTCCATGGATAAGGACAGAAGAGTATAGGTTTGAGTCTCAATGACACAAAAAAAAAGGGATAATTAATGCCTAAACAAAATAATTTCCATGGGTCCCATCTGTGCTTGAAGTTCAAAAACAGTTAACCCAACCTAGCAGTGTTAATAAAAGTCTACATTAAATATTCAGTTAAAGTTCATCAAAAACATACAAATTACCTGTAATTTCTCATTCTCAAAACATAAAGACATCCCAGGAAAACATAAGATGTTAACAGAACCTCCCTGCAACCTAAAACAAACATTCACAAAACAGCCTTAAGTCTATTTTCCAGTCGCAGAACATCAAAATGTGCTAGCCGGGTTTACTATTCAGAAGTAACCATTGCATCAGCAAACTTTAACCGTATTACTGATTCAGACTGAGAAAAGGACAGCTTCTGAAATTAACTCCCCAAGTCTAATCACACATGTACAAACACTACAGCAAGACTTACCAATAGCCTTCATGAAAGGCTCAAAGTTCTCATGTGTCTCCAGCTGGTATTTCCCTGAGAAAGACATGGTGACTATAAGGCAGTGAAGGTAAAGACAGCCACAGATCCCTGCTTGTCTTTATACCCTCATCTATCCAGCCCTGCAATCGTTAACTAACTAAAGGTGTCTACAATTGAGAACCCCTCCCCCTCCTATCTTCCCTGCTACTTACCTATAGGCACAGATCTAGGATCAGCTTCCCAGCCAAGGGCAACTAATCTAGATTGCAATGGTCAACTTTATTGTACTCCCCTCCTCCCTCCTCATCCTCTCTTCTTCTTCTTTGGTGGTGTGAGTGATCATTGATCTGTATTGAAAATCAAGGCCTCCTCGACTCCTGATAAGAAAGATGATAAGCAGTGTCATCATTGTAATACAAGCATATGGATCAATCAACACATTTCAAATTTAACTTGACTTTATCTCCCTATCCCCTGTGTAGAAGTTCAACTAGGCTACACCTGCACTTTAAGTTGATTGAGTTGAGAGCTGTATTTGGCTCCCTGCACTGTAAAAAAGTTGAATCAATGTACAATTGTAAGGCAACAAGATGTAATATGATTGTGAGTTTCCTCAACATTTGGGCATATAGCTGAACAAAAATGCATTCTCAAGTTGAGTAGTACGTTCACTCAACTTAAAATTTTACGTTGAGTGAACATACAACTCAGAGAATTTATTCTACCTTAAATAAAACTCTTTATGACAATACATACACTACCGGTCAAAAGTTTTAGAACACCTACTCATTCAAGGGTTTTTATTTATTTTTACTATTTTCTACATTGTAGAATAATAGTGAAGACATCAAAACTATGAAATAACACATATGGAATCATGTAGTAACCAAAAAAGTGTTAAACAAATCAAAATATATTTGAGATTTGAGATTCTTCAAATAGCCACCCTTTGCCTTGATGACAGCTTTGCACACTCTTGGCATTCTCTCAACCAGCTTCATGAGGTAGTCACCTGGAATGCATTTCAATTAACAGGTGTGCCTTCTTAAAAGTTAATTTGTGGCCAATCAGTTGTGTTGTGACAAAGTAGGGGGGTATACAGAAGATAGCCCTATTTGGTAGAAGACTAAGTCCAAATTATGGCAAAAAACAGTGGGACTATCATTTGTTTTTCAACAGGACAATGACCTAACACACCTCCAGGCTGTGTAAGGGCTATTTTACCAAGAAGGAGAGTGATGGAGTGCTGCATCAGATGACCTGGCCTCCACAATCCCCCGAACTCAACCACATTGAGATGGTTTGGGATGAGTCGGACCGCAGAGTGAAGTAAAAGCAGCCAACAAGTGCTCAGCATATGTGGGAACTCCTTCAAGACTGTTGGAAAAGCATTCCAGGTGAAGCTGGTTGAGAGAATTCCAAGCGTGTGCAAAGCTGTCATGAAGGCAAAGGGTGGCTATTTGAATAATCTCAAATATAAAATATGGTTTGATTTGTTTAACACTTCTTTGGTAACTACATGATTCCATATGTGTTATTTCATAGTTTTGATGTATTCACTATTATTCTACAATGTAGAAAATAGTAAAAATAAAGAAAAACCCTTGAATGAGTAGGTGTTCTAAAACTTTTGACCAGTAGTGTATGTCATAAGGCCTTTCCTTAAGGACCTATTTACACCCTAACACTGTGGCCTGAAACTCCTGGTTTACAGGCCACATCAAGCCTGCAAGTCACATTATGATTGCTTGCTAAGTGATGTGTAATTCCTATTGCAATCGAGCCAGAGAGCGTTAATCACCCGCAACCTGCATTGACAGTGACTGCCAGGGAAGATTTATTATTGAGACTACCTAAATAATATATAACTGGAACAGCCATCTCAGTAATGGATGCAAAAAGTCCAACTCATAACAGAGTGGATAAGTAAAAAAAAAAAGTATGTTATTGATGTTGGTGTAGCATAAGATTAATCAACCAATCAAGGAATGTGCAAAAACACATTCCTTGATTAATTTTTCTGAAATCAACCTGCAAAGAGCATGCTGGGAAATATGATAACGATGGCCATGGTTTTGAGTGGTTTTGAGCAAATGTACCTTTATAATTTCACTCAACAAGCTTGTTCAAATTCAGCTCAACTCAAGCAGTTTGTTGATTCAATGTACAATTGTAAGGCAATGAGCTGCTATAGGGTTGTGAGTTTGCTCCACATTTGGGAATATAGCTGAACCAACATAGTGTTTTTTTTTTTTTTTTTGCGGGTAGATCAGCTTTAATATTGCAGATAGATTGTAACTTCCATCAATGTAATTGTCTGCATCACTTCCAATTCCACATATGGTTTTTCTCTCTCTCACACACACACACACACACACACACACACACACACACACATTAATACATATACACTACCGGTCAAAAGTTTTAGAACACCTACTCATTCAAGGGTTTTTCTTTCTTGGAATCATGTAGTAACCACAAAAGTGTTAAACAAATCAAAATATATTTTATATTTGAGATTCTTCAAATAGCCACCCTTTGCCTTGATGACAGCTTTGCACACTCTTGGCGTTCTCTCAACCAGCTTCATGAGGTAGTCACCTGGAATGCATTTCAATTAACAGGTGTGCCTTCTTAAAAGTTAATTTGTGGAATTAATTTCCTTCTTAATGTGTTTGTGCCAATCAGTTGTGTTGTGACAAAGTAGGGGTGGTATACAGAAGATAGCCCTATTTGGTAAAAGACCAAGTCCATTTTATGGCAAGAACAGCTCAAATAAGCAAAGAGAAACTAAATTACTTTAAAACATGAAGGTCAGTCAATAGGGAACATTTCAAGAACTTTGAAAGTTTCTTCATGTGCAGTCGCAAAAACCATCAAGCGCTATGATGAATCTGGCTCTCATGAGGACCACCACAAGAATGGAAGACCCAGAGTTACCTCTGCTGCAGAGGATAAGTTCAATAGAATTACCAGCCTCAGAAATTGCAGCCCAAATAAATGCTTCACAAAGTTCACGTAACAGACACATCTCAACATCAACTGTTGAGAGGGGACTGTGTGAATCAGGCCTTCATGGTCGAATTGCTGCAAAGAAACCACTACCTAAGGACACCAATAATAAGAAGAGACCTGCTAGGGCCAAGAAACAGGAGCAATGAACATTAGACCAGTGGAAATTTGTCCTTTGGTCTGGAGTCCAAATTGGAGATTTTTAGTTCAAACCGCCGTGTCTTTGTGAGACGCAGTGTGGGTGAACGGATGATCTCCGCATGTGTTGTTCCCACCGTAAAGCATGGAGGAGGAGGTGTTATGGTGTGGGGGTGCTTTGCTGGTAACACTGTCTGTGATTTATTTAGAATTCAAGGCACACTTAACCAGCATGGCTACACAGCATTCTGCAGCGATACGCCAACCCATCTAGTTTGGGCTTAGTGGGACTATCATTTGTTTTTCAACGGGACAATGACCCAACACACCTCCAGGCTGTGTAAGGGCTATTTGACCAAGAAGGAGAGTGATAGAGTGCTGCATCAGATGACCTGGCCTCTACAATCCCCGACCTCAACCCAATTGAGATGGTTTGGGATGAGTCGGACGGCAGAGTGAAGGAAAAGCAGCCAACAAGTGCTCAGCATATGTGGGAACTCCTTCAAGACTGTTGGAAAAGCATTCCAGGTGAAGCTGGTTGAGAGAACGCCAAGAGTGTGCAAAGCTGTCATCAAGGCAAAGGGTGGCTTCTTTGAAGAATCTCAAATATAAAATACGTTTTGATTTGTTGAACACTTTGTTGGTTACTACATGATTCCATATGTGTTATTTCATAGTTTTGATGTCTTCACTATTATTCTACAATGTAAAAAATAGTAAAAAAAAAAAAAAAACTTGAATGAGTAGGTGTTCTAAAACTCTTGACAGGTAAAGTACAGTTGAAGTCGGAAGTTTACATACACTTAGGTTGGAGTCATTAAAACTTGTTTTTCAATCACTCCACAAATGTCTTGTTAACAAACTATAGTTTTGGCAAGTCGGTTAGGACCTCTACTTTGTGCATGACAAGTAATTTTTCCAACAATTGTTTACAGACAGGTTATTTCACGTATAATTCACTGTATCACAATTCTAGTGGGTCAGAAGTTTACATACATTAAGTTGACTGTGCCTTTAAACAATTTTGAAAATTCCAGAAAATGATGTCATGGCTATAGAAGCTTCTGATAGGCTAATTGATATCATTTGAGTCAATTGGAGGTGTACCTGTGGATGTATTTCAAGGCCTACCTTCAAACTCCGTGCCTCTTTCCTTGACATCATGGGAAAATGAAAAGAAATCAGCCAAGACCTCAGTCCGCCACAAGTCTGGTTCATCCTTGGGAGCAATTTCCAAACACCTGAAGGTACCACGTTCATCTGTACAAACAATAGTACGCAAGTATAAACACAATGGGACCACACAGCCGTAATACTGCCCAGGAAGGAGACGCGTTCTGTCTCCTAGAGATTAACGTACTTTGGTGCGAAAAGTGCAAATCAATCCCAGAACAACAGCAAAGGATCTTGCGAAGATACTGGAGGAAACAGGTACAAAATTGTCTATATCCACAGTAAAACAAGTCCTATATCAACATAACCTGAAAGGCCGCTCAGCAAGGAAGAAGCCACTGCTCCAAAACCGGCATAAAAAAGCCAGACTACGGTTTGCAACTGCACATGGGGACAAAGATCGTACTTTTTGGAGAAATGTCCTCTGATCTGATGAAACAAAAATTTAACTGTTTGGCCATAATGACCATCTTTGGAGGAAAAAGGGGGGGGGCTTGCAAGCCGAAGAACACCATCCCAACCGTGAAGCACGGGGTGGCAGCATCATGCTGTGGGGGTGCTTTGCTGCAGGAGGGACTAGTGCACTTCACAAAATAGATGTCATCATGAGGAAGGAAAATGATATATTGAAGCAACATCTCAAGACATCAGTAAGGAAGTTAAAGCTTGGTCGCAAATGGGTCTTCCAAATGGACAATGACCCCAAGCATACTTCCAATGTTGTGGCAAAATGGCTTAAGGACAACAAAGGGAAGGTATTGGAGTGGCCATCACAAAGCCCTGACCTCAATCCTATAGAAAAGTTGTGGGCAGAACTGA